AATCCCAAATTTCTTTTGACTCAAATGATGAATTGATTTGCAGTTAGTTGTGTAAAGTTTTGATATGACTGTCTGGTTTGTCGCTTGACTTTAGGGGTTGTTTTTGGTCATAAAATGCAGAGTAAAATTGCTGTAGGCTTTTAGTGCTTACTTTTTGGGTGGCTGTTCCTAGGAGTAAGAAACTAAATATTACATTTGCTTATCAATGTGGTCTAGCTATTTCTTCCACAGAAACAGCAAAGCCATAACATTCCTTAATTTCTAACATTGGATGTTTTTCTCCAACAGGAACTGTTCTTATCAGAAGCAGTAATGGTCAACTGATGCTAGTATCTCAGCAAGCAATAGCACGAGCACAGCCTCAACCACAAAATAACACAAGTGTACGACTGTCTGTACCTACCAGCACACCTGCAGTCAGAATATGTGCTGTACAGGTAAATCCCTTACAGGTTTAATTTGTATGTTAACATGGTCATAACAGGGTTTGCAAATAAGCTGTTAAGGGTTAACTAAGCATTTGAATGTGTTCTGAGCAGCGTGGTTGGTGTGTTTTGTACATGAACATCACTATGCCTATCTTTCTGTCTTTCAGACCGCTAATTGTTACATTTGGAGTTGTACAAATTAAGGAATTCCTGTCTTACAAGAAAGATGTTTTGTGTTTTTCCTTTTTTTTTTTTTTTTTTTTTTTTTAAACCAGCTGCTACCTAAATGGTTACTGCTAGTGTAACTGCAGCTTTTTGGTTTTCTGACGAAGTAAAAGGAAGCTGAGAACCTCTCTCTTGTTCCCTTGAAGGATATTTCTTCTCATTCCCTCAACACTGCTGACTTTTTGCTTACGTTTTTTATAACGGAAAGTAAGAGTTGATCCGAAAAAGAGACATCTACTTAATATTACCAACATTCTCATCCTTTAATCATTTTATTTTGATTAGGAATTGTGGCTAACTGTCCCTGAATATGTTCTCACGTATAAAACCAGTAGGCAGATAGCTTTGTTGAAAAGTATTCCAAGCATATGGGTTGTATGAATGTTACTTGTCTTTTATTTTATGTCTGTTATTTTATGAGTGGTTTATATCAAGCAAGAACAAATCCTAACTTCAGGGTCTGTTTTGTCACTGGCTTGTCTGACAACTGTTCTCTGCATGTGTATGATTACTATTTGATTACTATTATTACTTTTTTTTTTTTTTAAGAACTCTGGCACCCAGTTAATAAAGAAAGCAGTACCTACTCCTTTGAAAACATTGTCTCAAACAACAAATGCTGTGACTTCTACTGTTCAGTCACCTGCTGTTATGCAGGTAGGTGGCAAGATTCATTGTACAGCGAAAGAAGTGATGGAGAGAACTGAAGAAAATATAGATGTGTTCTTGTTATTTCTAACTAATCTGGTTTTCACTAAGCTGATAACTTTTGCTCTTAATTTAATTATGCTTCTGCCAGCATGTGTCAGATCATCTTCCCTCACTGTAGTAGAAAGCGTTCTCACAATGGCATTGAACAATGTGTAAAATAAATAGTCTGAAGAACTATTTTCAGTGCATTTGTGCTCTGTGACTGAGCTCCTCCAAGCTCCAGCTGAAGCTTTTCTGGGGAATGGAGACTTCCTAATGCTTTTATGTTTGGGTTCTCTGATTACTTAGGGGAGGGAAAAGTATAGTTAAGATGGTGCTGAAGGGAAAATGAGCTGTCTGTACCAGTCAGGTTTTTTTTCAAGTTTGAGGTTTTGAGATTTTGTTTCCTTTTTCTCATTATAGGCTGAAGACCTCTGTTCTCCAAGTAAATTAAGTGAATTTAGTAGACAGATTGCAAAAAATATGTAGATATACAATTACTGGAAATGTATTACTGTTTTACTACTGTGTTTTTTGTCTTGTTTCTCGTTAGCAGAGTGAAATGATGTAAGACTACTCCGATAAGACCACTGGTACTTGTAGAACATGAGACATAGATCCAGTTGTTTCTCTGTTCCAGGGGACCACGCGTTTTGATATATGTGTGTGCACATGTAATGAAAAGAGAACTGCTTCCTTCTATTCTGTTCTCCCTGTAGGCTGGGGGAGAAATCAGAGATTTTGTTTGTACTTGGTTTTTTTTTTGTGACCAAGCTGACTTGAGCAGTAGTAGTTGACCAAGCATTCAGAAAATGAGAAAAAAAAAAAAAATCCAAGCTGGATGTATGTTCTTGACCTTGAGTATTTGAAAGATGGAGAGATAAGTTTGCTGACAGCAGTAACTAATAGTCTGACTTACAGATTTGTCCTCCTGCTGTTCTTCTGTATTAGTAACTGAAAACTACCCACAGCTCTGTGATGTTTTCTCTCTTCCTTCTCACTATAGGTGGATAATATTGGAATGGAAGGGGAAACCCAGAGACCTCTTCTAATACATTTTCTATTTCACTTAGAATGAAACCAGTGTATGCTTTGTGTCTGTCAAGAATAATAGTGGGTATTCCTGACCTATTTTTATTTTGGAATACTAGTTTGCAAACCATGTGTTTGTGATCTCTACACAGAGATCTTCGGAATGTAAAAGCAAGAGTCATCTGCTGTACTATCCTTAACACTGCAGGGAAGAGATGGATGTAAAGATTTTTTCCATTAAATGGGTGGAGCTGCATGCATCCTCACCATTTAATGTGAATAAATGTTGCGGATTATTATTCTGTTAACTAATTTTCACTTACATTTGTCTTTGAAAAGGTTCTTCTGTACTTTCTTGGTTCATCTTTGATGTAATTGGTTCAACTTGTGATTTTGTGAAGCGTTTAAAGAGGTAGACGGTATTTTTGGCAAGAAAGTTTGTAGAAACTTGAACACTTCTAATGAGCATACAGCTTGATTTAGGCTGCAGGAGGGATGACTAGGAAAAGTTAATACTGCTGTTTTGTTCGGAGTGGCTTTCTCAGAGCATGTTTTGCACAGTTTTTGCAGAATGCTCTGCACAAGTCCCTTTTATAATACAGTGAATAAGTGCAGTATGGATATACGCTATCGTAGGGCCACTTCAGTGTTAGCTCTGGGGCAGCCAAAAGGAAGAGGTCTGTCAAGGGAGCCTGTATGTAAGGTTGCACGAACTGCCTGTGGAAAGAAAGGAAGAGAGCCCTTGAGCCTGGTTTCCTTGGTGTCAGTGTTGTTCAGAAGTCCTAAAAAAAACCTGCTGGTCTTAGCCTAAAATTTTTTTTGAGGTCCAGAAGGGGAATGTTGGTATATTAGTACGTCCTCACAAAAAGTGGGGAACAGTTGAGATGAAATGATAACTTGCCTTCATTTGTCTCTTATCCTGTTTGAAGTATAACCTGGTGTACACTGCAAAACTCCCTCTGGTTGCTGACTCCAGGACTGTTCTCCTACAAAGATGTTTGTTTGTTTTGGTTCCTGAATGTTTGAGCTCAGAGGTTGTACAAAATACCTGCACTTTTTAATTTTTTTTTCCTTCTTCCCAGATGGAATAACATGGTTGCAAAGTATCTAATTAGCGTCATGCTGGGGCACTTTCATTTAGATGCAGAACACTTCTCTTGAAATGACTTCAAAATATGCAGGATTAATGCCATTTGTGTGTGTGCGTGTCTGTGTGACTGTTTCTCTGTTGCTCAAAGTGAGAATGAGAATTGTCAGTAGTGTAAAAAGGTTGAGGGCAGATGACAGAAGTTAATTCCCATGTACTTGTCTTCCTGGGAAAAGGGTCCGGCAGACTTCCTGTTGTTCCCTCCCTCAGCTGATAAAATACTGTTCTGGACCTGATGTGTAAACACACTGGAATTTGCAAGAGAGCAGCTCCAGCAAACCTCATGTTTTCAGTTTTTAAAAGCCCAGGGCATTGCAGCTTGACAGTTCTGTACTATGTCCCCTTCTGTCTTCCTCCCTTCCATCTGTTTGTGGGATTCTCATGCCCAGTTTGCCTCCCTGTGGTCTTAGAGCTGATGAGCTTCATCCTTGGAAGAGGCAGTGGTGGTGGCAAAGATCCTGCAGAGAGCTATTAAAGTGTTATCAATGGTGGGAGCCCAAGCTGGAAAGCTTTCTGGTAGCTGACTGCTTCTTTCATATCAAGCTGGCAGCACTTTGTGGGGGAGCAGGATACACCCAGGAAAAAGAAAATTTAACAAAAGTGCCAGTGTTCTGCTCTAGCTTTAAGCATTTGCTCACTAATTTTCCCTGTCCTGAAATATTTAAAAACATGTTGATGTTCTACACATGCTCTGTCCAGTTCTGATTTTTTAATTTCTTTTTTTTTTAATTGATGATGAGTTAAGTTGGGCTCTTGCATTACCATCTTATGACTAACTGTCAATTAGCAGTGTGATTGCTAAATGAAAGTGATGTTTAAAATATTAGGAGTCAGTGAAAGCAGCTGTGTTGGGCAGATCTGAAACATTTGACCTACAAAACAGCCTTTCTTTTGAAACTTTTGGGGAAGGGCTGGAGGAAAAAACAGTACTTAACTGCAGGCTTCAAATGCTAAACTGAACCTTTGCTTATTTCTGTATTCTATGGCTTCAGTCTGTGGCTTTTTAGTGGGCAACTTGAGAAAATGAAAGAAGTGGGGGACAAAATCTTACTCATGTTCTGTTGTATTAGAAAAATGGTGTGATTGGATGTTTTTTTATTCTAATCAGACCTGAAGTAGAAATACTCATGTTTAGTAGGTTTTCTTTGGCAACTAGTATTTTTTAGCCTAGTTTGCAAAGGAGAAAGGCATGTGTGTGTTGTGTTTTTTCTAAACCTTCACAACTCTCATGCTACTGGAGCTTCTGTATCTGTTGATAGATAAAAAGATTTGAAAGGGAGGTGAAAGTCTCATACGTGAGTTTTGACAGGGTTTGTGTCTTGATGAATTTGAGACAGATTGACATTGGTTCCTATGAAGAAAAAACAGGAAGAACTACTTAGGTGCTTTTGTTCATCTGGTTTTTGCTGGTGCATCCTTCCAAAATGGGCACGATGCTTTTCATCTGGTGCCTGTGTGATAGGAAACATAAGGAATATCACAAATGGAAGAGGAGCTGCAGGGGAAGAAAGGAATATAAATAATCATCTGAAGTTGTATTTATCTTCAGAGTACTGTCACTTGGCTTAGTATAAAATTGATTAGTCTTAGACTATAGAAACCTGGCAAAGTTTGAACTTTGGTTTTGAACTATGTGTTTCTTCATGACTACTTTTTCTTTTCCTTCACTTGAAGTTACAGGCACTTTCTTTAATATTCGTGGGCTTTTGTCCTTCCCTACCACCCACAGACTTAAAAACAGGTTGGCTATGGAGGTTCTGTGACTTAGAGAACTAAATAGTCTCTCAAAGGAAAAAAAAAAAAATCAAATTTCTGAAAATAAAGATAAGATTTGTTCATTTATGTTTTAAATAGTAATCTTGAGTGAGGAGGGAGGATGCTACTTAATATGCTAGCAGAATATAGCATGTGTTATTTGTGCTAGTCTTTGGGTTTAAGTGTTAATTTTTTTTTCTTTTCAGCCAGCAGCTGCAACAGCTAGTGTTACTGCAGTTACTGCTGTAAAGCCTTTGAGTACTGGAACACCTGTAAAACTTCCAGTTACAGGACCACCTGCACAATCCATCTCCCAAAAGGCAGTCTCCGTGAAAGTAGAGGGCACAACAGTAGCACAGACCAGCACTTCAACAGTAAGGGAAAAAAAAAAAAAAGTTTTTAATTAAAAATTAACATTCTCTACATTCATCAGAGGTTGGAGAGCCAACTTGACGTCTAACGATCTATTTCCACCATAGGAGATGCTAGAGAATGTGAAGAAATGCAAGAATTTCCTTGCTACGCTAATAAAATTGGCATCTAGTAGTGGACCTCAAGCCACTGAGATGGGGCAGAATGTGAAGAATCTGGTGCAAAATCTATTGGTGAGCCTTTTTTTTTTTTTTAAAGCAAAGTCTACTGATCTTATATTGATCTTAATGTTGACTTCATAATTTTGTTCCTTCTCTTTCTACTTGTGTTGGTGTGTTATTTTTTAAACAGCTCAAGTTGTGGTAGAATACATCAGATCCTCCAAAGTATTACATTATAATGTGCATTTTAACTGGATTCCATATTGTAATTTCCCCTCTCATTCCTATTTCATTTTATGCACGCAGGTAACTGACAACAGGAAGAGTTTATTGTTTTTATGTAGTTTTTGGGTCTGAGCTACTCTGTTAGTGTAGGTTTGAGTTCTCAGTAGCAAGAGTTTTGCTGTGGTGATGGTAGTTCAGTGCTTAGTCTGTATTACTGTTTTACTCCAGGACTGAACTGAGTTGCACACTGATGGTGAAGCTCCATTGAAATGAGTGTGAAGTTATCCGTGTCTTTAGACAGTGGGATGGAGAAAATAATGTGATGGCTTGCCAGCCTATTTGCTTGCCTTGTGCTGTACCCCAGCAGTGCTGGACTTTCTTGGTAGTGGTTTCTCCTGGTACTACTTTTCTTGGCATTTGACCATCACTGCAATTTTGGCTTTCCACTTCAGCAGAAGGATATATGTGCTGGTAGAGGGAGATGGCTTTGCAAGTCGTACTGAAGGAATTTCTTAGTCTAGAAAAGCATGGTGTAGAAAGAGGCATAATTTGAGAGAACAGATTGTTTTAAGATGCAGCCTTGCAAAAATCTTTGATTTCCCTTCTCTCACTGCCTTTTTCTTTGTCCCTGCTGGACTATACACTACAATTCCATTGGAGCGTGCTAGAATTAATCCTTGTTGTGCTTACAGTGCTTTTTATAAAGAACAGTAATTACCAGCCATTAATAAATTGTTTAACTGTGCATTTGTTTGCTTTTTGCAGTATTTTTAAAGCGCTGTTTTTCTGTTATTCAGTATGTGTGTATGGTGTGAATGCAGAATAAATTAATGTTTCATGTGCATGGGGGAAACACATAAGCAGCAGCTGTGAAGTAAAGTGGTCCTCAAGGCAGCATTTCATGGAGTGGGTGTCAAGAACCCTAATGTGCACTGAGATGTGCTGTACCAAATTCCTGCAATTGTATCAGTGACCTGTATCCACAGCCAGACAGGCAGCAGATCCAATGACAAGAATTGAGCTGCTTGAAGTTCTGTTCTTCTGTGAATTCCTAAGTTATTCTGTGAATACCATGGTACCTAAGCCCCCTGCTCTGACCACATAGTTGTTCTGTGGAGGATAGGAGTGAAAGGCATAATTTCTCTGCTGACTTCTCTGGTTGGCAAGAGGGCTTCTCTGTCTTCTGTACCTTCCTGAAGGAAGGAAAGGTCTCACCTGGCAGGGTGAGTAGTAGCCACCAGTCTGAGGCTGCATGCCACTTCATCTGGGTTGCTGGGGCACTGAAGTATAAGGGAGTCACAGGAGTTGGCTGCAGCTTTCTAACCTTCTGAAGCCACTGAAATAGTTGTCTGTGGCAGGAAGAGTAAAGAGCATTGAAGAGATTGATTGAGGGGATTGTTACCTTAATGGTATGCAGAAGTGATGTTCTGATCTTTCTCTTTCTTCAGAAAGAAAGCATTAAGTATTATGCTTTATTATGCTTTTGTGAGTGTTAGACTGGAATCGTTTTACAAAAGCTAATCAAATTGTCTTTTGTCTCCATTCTATATAAATTTTGATGCTGATAAACTACCTTTATAGCTGTAAGTACTCCTGATGGATTTTGCATATTTCTGCATAAAAGATGTACTCAAAAGGATCAACGTTACTTATAAATTTGTTTCTTTTAGTTCACTTTAGTGAATGCTTGAACGGATATCCTCATGTGTATTAGCAGCTTCAGTGTCTGTGGATGAACAAAGAAACTTAATTTTCTAATACTGTATCTAGGTTATAACATCATTCTATCCTAAAATGCTTTCTTTAAACATACAGGTGGAAAGAAGTATTTGAGTACTGAAAGTGAACAACATCATGATAGTGTAAACTTCCATGAATTGTTGATACACCTGAAAAAAAAAAAAAAAAAGATTCATACCTATGATTTAGTGTTGCAATTATACTTTCCTCTTAGGAAGCAAAAATTGAACCAGAAGAATTTACAAAGAAACTGTATGTAGAGCTCAAGTCTTCTCCACAGCCGTATTTAGTTCCTTTTCTCAAGGTAAGTGTCTGATTGTGGATATAAAGTATTTAGTTGGAAGGGAGGGTGGAGGATCAGAAAATGTTTTAATTGCTTTCAAATTGTTATTTCCTCCAATCAGCTGAGGAAATGGTGCTTAGCCCAGCTAATGCTGTGTGACTGCTGCGCTTGGAAAGACAGGGGTTATTGTGGGGGGATTTCAGAAGAGTTACCTTCAGCTGTATTCTCAAGTTGAAGAGTAATTACTCTCCAGTTATTACTGGAGACAAATCTTTTGGAAGCTGATACATCTACAGTAGAGTAGTTAGACTAAGATGACCTTTTATTTGCTCAGCAAAGCTGTAGTTGCTTTGAATTCTAATACAGAAGAGTGACAACAGAAGCTGTTTTGCAGTATTTAAGCTTAAAGAATCTGTATAACCCTGGCATTCTGTTGTCTGCTGGCTTGTGTTTAATTGCAGACAGTTCTTTCGTTTTAAAAAAAATTCTCATTTCTCCAGAAAGTTTCTGACAGGGCTGCTGCAACTTAGAGAAAATAATTGGGAATAGCTATCTCCGTTCAGGGAAATAATTGTATAAATAAGAAAATGCTTTCTTCTGTGTATGTGCCTACCATACTTTTTAATCATATGGTAGAATAGTTTATTGACAAAACAAAAAATGAATGTCTTTGTCATGTGACAACCACTAAATCCCAGCAAAGTTGGGAAACTTTGTTGTATTTACTTAATTGTAATGTACAGTGTTCTTAGAACTGATAGATCTGTACTTCCTTGACATTCAGTTTAGGCACAGTGGTGCATCAAGGAAGAATAGTTAAGTGGTAAAGGTGGAAGAGAAGTTTGCTGGACTTTTCCTGCTTTCTTAAATTTTGACAGCACGTACAACAATGGTCTGGTAATGTTGTTACTACTTTGGGCGTCTATCGCTGATCTGTTCAGGTATGGGGTATTTCTGTTATAGTGGCAGCCTTCAAATGCTTTGATAGTAAGTTTGCTCGACTAGAAGACTACAGTCTTCTAGTAGAAGCTGTAGAAGCTAGTAGAGCTGTTGGAAGAGGTCCAGAAGAAGGCCACGAGGATGATTAGAAGGCTGGAGCACCACTCCTAGGAAAAAAGGCTGAGTTAGGTGGGTTTGTTCATTCTGGAGAAGAGAAAGCTCCAGGGAGGCCTCGTGGCCTTCACTACTTAAAGAGAGCTTATAACCAGGAAGAAGATTGACTTCTTACATAGATAGGTGGCAGTAGGAAAAGGGGGATGGTTTTAAATTAAAAGAGGGGAGATTTAGATTAGATTTTAGACAAAAATTGTTTACTCTGAGAGTGGAGAGGCACTAGCACAGCTGCCCAGAGAAGCTGTGGTGTCCCATCCCTGAGGTGCTCAAGGCCAGGTTGGATGGGGCCCTGGGCAGCTGAGCTGCTGAGTACTGGTGGGCTTTAAATCCCTTCCAACAAGTCAATCTATGATTCTCTGCTAGATTTAATAAAATTGTTATTTGTCCTTTTTTTTTTTTTTTTTTTTAACTCTGTCTAAATTCCTGATGTTTCCCTGTAAAAACTCAAGGGCAACTCAAAAGGCAGTTCTTCCTTTACCCTATTTGCATTATTATGACATATTGTAGTTCAGAGTTTTTCGTGTTAACTTTCTAGAATAATATGTGCAACAACTGCAGCAAAGAGTACTCTGTTACTTTTGGACAGCTTTATCCTGGCGTCAGAATGACCAGGCTGTGTATGCAGGGTCAGCACAACTAACAAAGCTTTTCTTTGAGCTCTGGTAGCTGCCAGGGCAAGTTTGGCTTTGTAAGTAATGTGTCTGCCTTCTGTAGGGCCTTGGCTAAGAATCCCTACTGGACACTAGCTGTGTTCCCAGAGCAGTGTGGAGGAATCTCAGTATCGCGGCAGAGCTCTAGCCTGCGTCTGGCACAGCCAGAACTCGACCTGGAGGTGGCAAGCTCCCTGGACCAGTTCATGCCTAAGAACCAGGGAGCTGCTGCATTGCATTTGCTAACACTTCTACAACCCTTAAAGTTCCTCAGGCATTCATTAGTTTACACATAGCCCTGTCTTCATGTGTTGATGTAAATGCTTATCCCGAGTTAATAAGCTGTCCCACAATGTGGGGAGCAGGTCAGTTTTAGTGTAAGGACTTCAGGGCAGTTCTGTAGATTGACCTGTATCAGGGCTGGGCTGGTGTCACGCAGAGCTGCTGTATGCTGTCAGGTATCACGTAGGCTTTTCTGCTTTCAGCTGTATCCACACCCCTGTAATCCTTAATGAGGTACCCTCTCCCAGTTGTGTACTATGTTAACAACAAAATACTATGACTTCAGCAGCATTGTTCAAGCACTATTGTGGTTGAATTTAACTGACTTCATAGCATTACCCATCCCTTAAAGCATCTTGTACCCTGGTTGCTTTTTTTCTGACATACCTTAAGGCTGTGTAGCGAGCACAGACCAGGCTTGCTTGGCACGTACTGTGGGCAGCTGCTACGGGACTGAGTGCCAAATGGCAGCTGACTTCACAGGCACTTCTCTTCACTGCCGGCCTTGTTTGGGGGAAACACTTGTGTCTCAAGTCTGGGAAGAAGTTTGGTAAGGGTTGTTGCCAACTCATTTTAGCTAGTAAAGTGGAATTGTAGGGAAGGTTCTCTGTCCTTACCTTTTGAGCTGTGGCTTTTGATGCAGCTATTGCATGTATTTTGTTTTGCTGATTCCAATAGGTTGAAAAGAGCATTGACTTTGGCTGCAGTGCCACCTTGATGTTCATATCTTTGCTGGATGCTTTTCCTGAATAAACTGCATCAGGAATGTTAGGAAAGTTAAGCAGTCCTTCAAAAGATGAGGAAGCAAACATTAAAGATAGAAGTGCTGTAGAAAGCCCAGATGTACAAACAATTTGCTCACTCAGTATATTAGCAAGACATCACATTCCTGTTATATGAAGCCCAGAGCAACAATGCTATGCTGGAGACATACAAACTTCAAAAATTGTCAAGGGAAAAAAGTTTTTGTGCGAATATACTGGTAGCTGTAGAAATTATTTCCCCTGTTTCTGAGCCATAACAGATTGTAAATAGTCAAGGAGAAAATCTGTGGAGGGCATGAAGATTATTCTGTCCATTAACCTTCTCAAACATAGCTGTACTAAAAATGAGATGTTGCCAGATATCTTTACTAATGTTCTCCTGTTGCAAAAAACTTAGCTGGCTTAAGCTGTGCTGCTGCAGCTATTCAGACATTAGTAAAGTGGTATCCCCCCCTAGCGTAGATACAGCTGTATTGGTATACAAGTGCTTGCATCTTCAGGACTTGCTTCCAATCTTATTAGATAATTTGTAGCTCTCTGCTGGAGAAACTAAATGGAATAAACACAGCTGTTATGATATAGCAGACTTTTTTTTTAGCAGAACGAAAAATGTTGAGATAGAATAGTTCAACTGGTCTTATTCTGGAGCATAAATTCCACACTGAAACATTCTAAACAAAAGAAACTTAGAGACAAATGTCTCCATAGATACTGTTTGCACCCAGGTACCGAAGACACAGTCACTGTTGTCTTTGTTGAACCTATGTTGGTGATTCTTAACTTATATCTCCATCATTTCAAGAACACTTGTGTTTCTTCTATGAATTCTAGCAAAATATTTTGTTTGGAATAACCAGATTATTTCCTGATATTAAGAATTAAATTAGAATGTGAGGAAGAGGATTCAGTTGCTAATGTAATATGCAGTATTGTTGAAGACTATTCTAGCATTATTCTGTTGTTTTTTTCTTTTTGTCTTCTAGAAAAGTATGCTTGCCTTACGGCAGCTAATGCCAAATGCTCAGAGTTTTATCCAGCAGTGTATGCAGCAGCCTGCTCTGACCCAAGAAGCTGTTTCAACTTGTACTTCTGCACTAACTCCTTCCACAGCAGTGGTAACCTCACCTGTAGCAACCAATCCTCTTCCCATTATAAAACCAGTGTCTGCCTCCACAACAGTCACAGCCGCTCCTGTTATAAAACCAGTCCTTTCCAGTGCATCAGTGACAGCCTCTCTGCAGGCTGTGAAGCCTGTTCCTGCCTCTGCAGTGGTGACAGCCTCTCTTCGTCCTGCACCCTCTGTCCTCACCACAGCAATATCGACATCAGGGCTCACTGCTATCCAAACTGTAAAGCCAGTCTTCACCTCTGCAGTAGCAACAACATCTCTCCAGTCTGTAAAGCCAGTGCTCGTCTCTACAGTGGCATCTTCAGCAGCAACCCCTCTCCAGCCTTTGAAACCTGTCATGGGCACCCCCATCAGTATTAAAATCTCACAGCCCAACTCCATCGTTGCGCAGCCAGTGGCCACTCAGCAGGTGGTTAAAGTGAAACAGTTGGTAAGATCAATTTCCTCTGTAACTGGGCTTCTTTTATTTGACTCTTAACATTTTGTCAAGGTGATACCAATTTGCATCTTAGAGGTGTTCTTTTGTCATAAGAAGCTAGCCTGTCATGAGTTAACCAGTTCTGAGATAGTTGTGGATGTTGTGCAGTTGTTGAAAAGGTCAATCTAAAGCCAGACTGTAAGCAAGATCTACTGCAAGATGTACTGACCACTGTTCCACCAGGCTGAGCATCCAGATTGAAACGTGAGAGAACATGTGTTTGGACTCCTGGTGTGCATGCAGCTGTGCTAGCTTGGTATATGAAAGAAAAGGCAGGAAATTCTTGTGTCAGAAGATGAAATTGATGATGAGGTCCTTATGTTAATTATTATCAGATGCCCTGTGTGGGCTGTACCTCTGTTGACCCCCAAGGATTCCTATCTCTCTATCTTTATAGACTCTGCTCTGAACACTTTTCAGAAATAGGTGACTTGATGATACACTAACTGAAAGGTATGAACTAGCTCAAGGAGCTTTTCGGAGGAGAATTCTGACCTCCACATTTACTAAGATATGTTAGTCGTAATGTCATCCAAGGTTTATTTTTTTCTATTAGGCCTCAATAGGTAACAAATTCCAGGAGGAATAGATATGGTAAAACAATACTCTCAAAAACAATGCGTTAACATTTTTTCTTGGCATAGGTTAACTTCTTATGGATGCTAATAGTAAATACCAGAAAATGTGGATCTACTGGTATATATCCAACAGAGCAACATTGTGAAATAAGTTAAGTTTTGAGATAAGAAGAGTATGTTGTATAAGTAGTCTACCTGCATGGAAAACTGGGAGAATAGTCATCTTTTGGCAGATAAATAACTTTTCTTGTATAGGATGTCCTTGTAAAAATGTGTTCCTTCAAACAAAGGAAAAATATGCTTCCTCTGAAGCAAAATTTGCTTACAACAGGTGTAGTAGTATAGTACTGTGTGAATTTCCATTGTAGTTTGTTTATTGTATATTCTTCATTTAATAGTGTTCAGATTCACTGAAGTGTTTTGTATTTGTTTTCTTCTTTTCCAAGTGTGTAAGGAAAAAATAATATAAGAATCATTCTTAGTAAAGAGCTAATTCTACCAGGTTTTCACCTTTTCAGACTAAAGAACAAAACATGGAACTATATAGGGAAGGATCCTTTTTATGAGTGTTTTTTAAAAAAAACAACTAAGCAGTTACTAACAAACTTGGATAGTAGTAGCTAGAGCCAAATTGGAAAAAGAATTGGTACCTTTATTGTCTTCAAGGACTAAATTCGAAATTTCAGCCAGAAGAAAATGAGAGCTTCTTAGGCTGTACAAAGGCTGAAGAGCATTTGTTGGCTCCATGGCAAGCCATGTAATTCAGGGGGAAGATTGACCATCTGTACAACTAGATGAGGAAACGTAACTCTGCACTGGGGAGTTAAGATGCTTTGTGAATACAATTTTGTTGAACTCATGAAATGACTTCTGCATCCTTCAGTACTGCAGCGTGGCATCCTTAATGCAGTTGCTTTTTTTTATTCTGTGTTATAAACGTTGACTTGTAAAATATAAAGCATATTTTAATCTAGTTTAGGTAGATCCCAAGCATAGCAATTAAAATAATTTCTCTTCAAAAATGGTGTTAAATTTTGGTCTTAGATGTAGTTGAAGGGTTTAGTTGACCACTGGCAGCTCAGCCATATCAGGATGCTGGTGTTTGTTCAGGTAGCCAGTTAGCACAAGGAGCAAGTTGGTGGAAGTGGCTGCATCTTCTAGGACTTCCCTGATGCTTTGTCTTTTAGAAAGAAGAGAGCTTGCCTGCTCCCACAAGAAAACAAATCAGGATCTTGCCTCCCTAAAGAGAAGGGTCCTGCTGCCAACTGAAAGGAAGCACATGCCAGCTGTGCAAATCTGTCCATACGGTGCTGCCAGCAATTTTTTTTCCTCTCTGGCCATCAGGGTTGTCTGATGCCATACATTCACTCTGCATGTCTGTTTCTAATTTGTCTTTCTTGTGCTCAAGGAATTTAAGGAAGCATCTTCTGTGCTTTCATGTGCCAGCTCTATTGTAACGTCATTGATGCTTCAGGTTTCAACACTGCAATGGTTTCCTATTAAAACTGTGATGGGAGCAATGCAGCATGCAGCTCTTTCTTTTCTGGAGCGTGATTATCTCAACTCTATCTGTATGGTGGACTCTGAGGGATCTGCTGTTGGGACTGGATTATGTGTCTGTGCTGTCTTCTCAGCAGCTGCACGCTCTGCAGGATACCCTTCCTGTGACTTCTTTCCTTAATGTGAACAAATTTAAGTGCATTTGTTAGTAAAGATTTTTCACCTGAGAAATAAAGCATGTCTTGCCATAGCATTGTTTTGTCTTAGTAAAACATGGTAAATCAAAGTTTGTTACCAGCTGCTGACTTCTAATGATAAGAACACTTCTATGAAACTACAACTTAAAGCATTAAGAGCAAGAGCTTTGTGGTGCAGTCCCCACAGCCACCGGTAAGGTGTGCTCACTTGCTACTGCTGGTGGCTAAAGCTACTCAGGTCTCTCTCAGGCAGCTGTTTCTGAGCTGTCAGCTGGGTGTTGCATTGCACTTTAAGTGTTGCTGCTCTTTATCCTGATGTCTCTGTCAACTTCCTTAAGGCGTACTAACCTGAAGAAAAGAGACAGTACCTCTTTTTCTTACAGATACCTCTTTTTGTAGAATTTTATTTTCTGGCATTAGATCCTTGTTGAAATTTCTAGGATTGTTGCCCTTTGCTGGTTCCAAGGACTTTCAGCTTTTGCTAGCCTACCATCTAGAATGGCAGACAAAAGCAGCTTTACTGCCAGTACATCCTTTCTGGTTTCTGGTTGATCTAGTCTTCTCAGTCATTTGATTTATTTTTCCAATCTCCATCTAGGCTATTGATTTAATACTGCCCATCTGTTCTTTTGTCTGCCACACCTTAATCTTGAATACTTATGCTTCCTCCTGTGCTGTTTCAGTTTTTTGTATGCTGAAGATGAAGCACCATGCTCACTGACGGTAGGGAAGATCTCTAGGTGCCTGTCAGTATGGACGCTGGCAGATCCTGTGAGTAGTTTGTCCAAGCTGCTTGGTTGTTCAGTAATTATCTGAACATATAAATTGTGTTCTTAACGTTTTTGACTTCCAGCGTACGGAAGCTGGATCTTTTCAGAAAGATCAAATTGTGTCTTGGTTAAAAACAAATAGAAGCAAACAGTGTCTGTACTTGTTTGTGATGAAGTGCTCTGTGTGTGAGACTTTGTCCACAATCAGTGTCTGTATTCCTATGGTTGTTTCATCAGCATAAAAACGTAGAGAGATGCACATCTTGTGTTTTTTCCTCAGGAATGGTGTGTTCTTTGTCTAGTTTATGAACACCTCCTTCAGCTCAGTTGTTCTACATTACCACTGTTTTGTCAAATCATGATGCTATGAGCAGCATAATGTAACTGGAGCTGTTGGGGGGAGTGTACCTTGACATCTTCAGATGCAGAGCACGTTTTCTTGTGAACATGTGGTTCTGGTGCTCATGATGTTTGTTGATTAAATTTGAAGTTAATTGGCAGAAGGAGACAGCCTAATTTCTAAGTGCAATAAATGTCAGTTCTTCACATTTAACTCTAAACTTGTGTAGTTTACTTACATACAAGCACTGTTTGAGCATTCTTTCTGAAATTAGACTTAAAAGGCAGAGAATGTGTTTTCTCAACCATTTTTCTGTTGGCTTCTTGCCTCTAACTAGCTAGGATTCAATCTGAAGATGTTAGTAATTTTGTTAACTTTTAATCCTTGGTGAAAAGGTCTTTCTGCAACTTGTAATTAAGAGCTTTTGCAGAAGATATATCAAAAGCTGCAGTCCACATTTCAGCTAGCTAGGAGCCTTAGAAATGAAGCTTTGGGGATATCACTATTGCTTTCTTGCATTTTAATGGTTACCCCTGAAGGGGGAGAATTAGTATTTACAGGCTGTGTCTTTAGGTCTGTGTTGTGATGACATCCTGCTGTCAGGTTGTGTTTCTTTCAAGAGCCTCTTTAAACAATGCTATCAGCCCTTCCCTTTATACCCTTCAGCAGTGTACTGCTGTTTTTGCACAGAGGCAAACACCTCAGTACAGGTGTTGCTAGTTAGTACTTCATGTTCCATCTAATTGGTGCATTTCATGTACTTTTGTTTAACACTTCAAAACGTGGCATCTCAATTTACAATTGACCTTTCAGCTCCAAAAATGCATCAGTAACTTCATAGTGTGTACTCTTCACTACAGGAAAAGAATTTCATACAAGGCTTCTGTTTGTTTTGGTGATTTTTATTTTTTGTGAAACTAGATGTATGAGATACCTACTGTTTTGAGCTTGTTGGCAGACAGTCTCAATATTCAATTGGTAGCCTGTTAAGAAAGACTTAGGAAAGGTTTTTAGTGTAGCAGAAAGTAGAATTCAGTGAAATTTTCCTGATATAGCTATTGAGAGTAGGAATGAAACGCCTGTTAGAGCTTGCTGAATAAGCTTTAAGCTCAACACTAGTCATTAAGATTTTGTTTCTTGACTTTAAACTTGAAAGTAGTTTTTCTTTGAGCATGCTGGTTTTTTTATAAACTGAGAGCTAGACATAGATGCATGCCCTGCAGCACTTCTGACGGAATGAACATGTTGATGCTATCTAGCTGTCTGTGTATCTGTTTTACTCTTTTCACTCTTCATATTGGTTATTCCACTTGCAGGTAGTCCAACAACCATCAGGAACCATTGTAAAGCAAGTATCCACACTTCCACAGTCCTCAACGCTGACTCTTCAGACACCTGTTGAGAAGAGGATGCCGCTGAATACACTTGTTCAAACAAACCAATTTCCTGCTGGTATGGAGAAACCTCCATAATGGAGAAGGGAGAACACTACTGAGGTGTAAAAATAAGTATGGGCTATTGGTAGATTGCAGGGAAGTAAGAAGGTGTTGTGTACTGGAGCATTTAGTTCTGTTTTAGGAATCCTGATGAGAAGCTCAGCACCATGTCCACTTCTGTTGCCTGTTAAGCATGTGTCACTCCATAGCAATTTAATTTTTAAAATACTGTGAGTAAGGTCCTTGCAGTAAACCTACTTTGAACCATCATAGTCTTGAGAATCTTCTTCTGTCAGCAGATCCAGGTTGATGCATGACATAAATTTTTGCCGCAGCCAACAAGTTTTCACTTAAACCTGTCACTAATCAGCTCGGAGGAGGGTGTTTGGGAGTGTGGGGTTTTGGGCCTTACAGAACATTTAGAATGTAGCACTTTAGAGTGTCTGGTTTCCTGGTTGTTACTGAGTCTGCAGTACCTTTGTTAGAAGTATGAACTGATTAAACAGCAGTAAAAAGCATTTTGCTTTCTACTATGGCATGTTCTTTGTTTTGTTTTAGGCTCTGTTCTGAAGCAAGTTACCCTGCCAGGAAATAAAATCCTGTCGCTTCAAGCGTCTCCTCTTCAGAAAACTAAAATAAAAGAGAATGGAACAACATCCTTCAGGTAAAAATAAACAATATAGTTTACTACAGGAAGGAACAAAAGAAACAGCACATATTGAAGAGGGAACATAGCCCAGATAAAAGCAGCTTTATTTAGAGACTTACGATTGGTGTTTTTATCTTATATTATAAATTGTCAAACAGGAATCTAAAAACTCAGACCTTGTAGTAGATCTTATTCCTGGTATAGGAAAACTGTCTCAATGAGTTAGGTTTTTCATTGTTATTTCGAGAGTGTAATTACACAAACAGTGCACATCAGTATGTATCAGTTTTTCATTTGTAGAGGAGGCATATTGATTTTGATTCTGTGAGTACTGCTAACTAAAGTTACCCTGTATTAAAAGCTCTCCATAGTATTAAGTCAGATATAACTACTACTTTTTACAGATAGCCAGATAGCATTGAGCTGTAATTTGGACTGGCTAGCAACATGTTTAAAGCTGTGTGCTGTATTACAGTATCTTTTATTAGCTCTTCTTACAAGCTTGTTCCTGTATGTAGGGGTGGAACTCTTTGACCACACTTCTAATTGTGGCTTCTGGCATGTTCTCTAGGCTTTCAGATTTGAAGAATACTTAAAGCTTTTCTAGTTCTGATAACCGATTAACTTTTAAAAAGGAGAAATGGTATTTTTTTTGTAGCTCTAAAATCTAATGTTGAAATAGTAATAAGCTGCCATAATTATGCATTATTAGCTTTAAGACCTTAAGACAAACTTGAAGTTAGTCTTCCAGAGGTAAAAGCAGACATGACACCTTTGTGCTTTTGACCCATTGATTTCTCATTGTTTGAAAGCTATGGCTTTGTGTGTTCTGATGCATACCCAAACAAAAACAAATAAAAACAGACAAACAAACAAACAAAAAAACAGCAAACAAAATACTTGATAAATATTTCAAAACACAAAACCCAGTCCTCCTTAGGAATGACATTTTTCTGTGCTCCTCCAGTAAAAATACATGAACTTTCTAGGATGAAGAAGTTTGAACTGAGTTTCTTGAAGTTCTATCTTGTCAGGTTTTTAGAGTATTTAGAAAAGACCGTGCTTCTACAATGTGACCCAAGATGGATTTCTGCTCTGCTGAACTATGAATTTGTAATTAGCTGAAGTCCACAACAACTCAGGTCTGAAATCTCTAGCTTAGCCTACTGTTTTCTAATAGATTTCTCGTCTCTGAAGAAGTTTTTTCATGAAGCCTGACTCCTTTTGCTTTGTTTTGTTAGGATTTGGGAATGTGACACTACCAAACCCCGCTTAAGTTGCATTTTGACCTTGTTTAATAACAGAATCACAAAATTGTATGGGTTTGAAGGAACCTCTGGAAATCATCCACTACAACCCCTCTGCTAGTGCAGGTTATCTAGAATAGTTTGCACAAGAAAGCGTCTAGGTGGATTTTTAATATCTCCAGAGAAGGAGGCTTAGCAGCTTCTCTAGCAACTTGTTCTAGTGTTGTTTGAGAGTAAAGCAAAGTTCTTTCTCATGTTCATATGGAATTTCCTGTATTTTTGGTTGTGCTTGTTACAACCCTTTTTCCCATCACTGAGCACCAACAAAAAGAGCCTGTCCCCATCTGCTTGAGACATACCCATTAGATGATAAAATCCCCTCTCATTCTTGTCTTCTCTAGGCTAAGCAGTCCCATGTTTCTCAACCTTTTCTCATAAGGGAGATACTCCTTTATCTTCTTCGAACCCACTGGACTCTAAAAGATCCCTGTCTTTCTTGAACCCCAGATGCAGTACTCCAGATATGGTCTCAGTGCTTCTTTTTTTGATTGCTAGAGATGAGAATGGGAAGGGGGTGATTTTCTTGTTTCAATTTTGAAAAGTCCTTCTAGAAAAAGTAAGATTTCAGCTAAGCTTGCACATCACTGACAGTTGATTGTCCTATGGAATGCATTGTAAGGAGCGGTCTACTTTAAAAGCAAACATCAAGAGTTTTATAAACTGTTCTACTTTTCTGGTAAAGTATCACAGATTCATAGAATGGCATCGAAGGGTTCTCAAGGATTAAGTTCCAGTTGCCCTGCTACAGCCAGGGTTGCCAACTTCTAGGACAAGTACTAGATCAGATTGCCTAGGGTCCCATTCAGCCTGGCCTTAACCACCTCTGGGGATGGGGCATCCACAACCTTCCTGGACAACCTGTTCCAGCACCTCACCACTCTCAGTTAAAAAAAAAAAAAAAAAAAAAAAAAGAACTTCCCCCCCAATATCTCATCTAAATGTCCCTTCTGTTAGTTTAAAACCATTCCCCTTTATCCTATCACTATCTACCCATGTAAAAAGTTGATTTTCTTCATGTTTATGAATTTCCTTTAAATATTGCAGCCTATCTTCATAGGAGAGGTGCTCCAGCCCTTTGATCATCTTCATGACCCTCCTATGAATGCTTTCCAAAAGCTCCCTATCTTTCCTTTGTTGGGGGCCCCAGACTTGGACATAGTACTCCAACTGGGGCCTCACGAGGACAGAGTAGAGGGGAACAATCACCTCCCTCGCTCTTCTGATAGAACCCAGGATATCATTGGCCTTCCAGGCTGCAAACACACACTGCTGACTCATTACATTTTTAATCAACCAGAACCCTAAGTCCTTCTCTGCAGGGTTACTCTCAGAGTGTTCTCCCAGTTTTTATACATATCTGGGATTACCTTGCCCTTTGCTTTGTTGAACAACAAAGCAAATATATACTGGAGCACCCCGGGGAAAAAAAATAAGCTGCATATTCACTTCTTAAAGTACTTGTGCATTTCTTGCATCTGTTGTATTTGTTATTTTCAAAAGTGGATACAGCTGATTTGAGAATTTAGATTAAGAAGTTCCAGAAATCAGATCTGCTAGTCAAGCAGGAGTGAGATAGCAGAGTGGAAAAATCTAGGCAGCTGCTCCTCCTGCCCATGGTGATTAGGAGTGCTGGTGAGTCTTGCTCTGCTGTAGTGCATGGAAGTTTGGGTTAAGTATAGTTCATCAGTTTTCACTTCTACTATTTAAAAAAAAAAAAAAAAAAAGAGTATATAGCAAATGGGTTATGAAGAAAATGAGTGCGTTGTTCAAACACCAGAGGGTGCCATAGACTCACTTTTCAGCTACTACAGCCAAATCTGTAAGCACGGAGGCAAATCTGCATTGCTTGAGCATCTTTCTTCAGTTCAGTATTCAATTTGAATGTCAAATATGACTCCATGCAGGGTAACATTGAGAGCGGAGCATTCTGTTTTATTATTTGTCCTGACAACTTTAATCACTGGAAATTTGTAACAGCTAGGAGAGTGTTTCTTGTTGACTTCTGGGTGTGATGTGAGCAAATGCAGAAACGCATTAATGCCTGTGGTAAAGATGATGGACTTTGTAATGGTTTTGCTGAAGATGAAAGCAAGTCAGCATCTAACTAAACACCTCCATGTGTATTCTAGAGTATCTTTCATTTATCACTTTAATGGAACAGTTATAATAGTTCACTTTAAATGATTGAGTTTTGTTAAAATAACAAGGAATAATGAACAGTAAAGAGTGCAGATTTCACTTGGCTTCTGAAACTTATGTTATTTGCTAGTGAGCACTATTGCTAGGGAAATTTTGTGATGCGTTCTTTGGGCAAAAGAATATTTCATCAAAGCTAGTAACTTAGTGCAGTCTTATGTCTGGCAGTGAACAAGTTAAAATTGGTCTTCAAAACCAGCATGGATAGAGATGGCTACTTGTGCATGAGTTCTCATGTGTGCACTCATAAGAGAGATTATGATTGGAAATATAAAAAAAAAATAGTAACTTGATAATGTGAGCTAAAACACAGAATTGTGGCTAGATGTGTAGTACAGAAGTTTACTTGTTGCTTTCTTCAGTATTTGGAGCGTGTAGCCAGATTGAAAACTGAAATGGTACGATAGTTTACCTGTGCTACAAGCATCCTAATGTAGACTCCATAAACAGGGATCCTTTTCTTAGTGTGATGAATCTGAGACACAAGCCTAGTCAGGAAGCTATGTCTAGTTAAGACTTAATGAATGAAACTGATTTGAGAATCTGTTGGTCTCCTTTTCCCTAAACAAATTATATAGAAGCTGTCTGGCATGCGAATATACAAATGAAAGACAGGAAGGGTAGGAGAAGGCTGGATTCATTTCCTAGCCAAGCTCCTCTTCACCAGTCTTACACCATAGAACAGTGTTAAAGTCCAAAAAAGAAAAATCTATAGTTTAAGAAAAAAACAAACATCACTTTCTTGTATGTTTCTGAGCATCACTCAAATCCAACCCATTCTCCAATAAATTCAGTTTATACCTATTGCTAATCAGAAAACAGCCTCAAAGAGATCCCATTTCATCTAGGAATAGGAAGTTTCTGACCTGCTCCTGGTTCAAGAGTTATTTAGGCAATACAGTGCTTTCTGAAGGTGAACTTCATCAGAGGAGCAGAGGAGTCTTTGCAAAGACTCCTTTTTCCCAGATCAGAAGATGCTCATAGTGAGTGTTTCTAACAGCTTATCTGAATTAATACTGCAGGCTTCTATTCTGGCTTGGTCCTAAACCCTCAAAGCCAACATTACAGCCTTTGTCACTTTGTGAAGCAAAGCTCTCTTTATGATCTTAAGTTTTCTGAAAATACCTTGGATTGTTTCATTGCAAAACTTCTCCAAAATTTTCACATATGAGATTTATTAACTATTTTAGCTTACAAGATTGATCTTAAAGCTGAAACATGCAAACTATTTGCTTAATGTGAGCTTTACCATGATGGCAGGGAGCCCTAGCTTTGTTAGCCCAAAACATGCCACAGTTGGACTTTTATTTTGAGCTTCAACAGAATCCAGCTTACAAGGGAATGCTGAGAACTAGAGCTCTGTTCTTTGAAGAAATGTAGCATCCTCCACACCACGTGCAGACGTGCCGTTCAGTAGGGCTGATTCAGAGAGGAAGATCTGAGTTGACTGTAGCATACAGGCAAGAAGGGAACTCTCTGAAAAAAGAAGTAGAAATCAGCATTGTGCTAATACGCTTTTCCTGTGATCTTCAGTTTATAGGACAGGCATATCTGTTAGAAAATTGCCTTGCTTATACTTTAACAAATCAATATTCTACTTTATTCTACACTTGTTGCTATTCAGTGAATTGTATTTTTATAACAAATTTCAGTTAACTTGTGACTTTAACTTAATAACTCCAAGAGGAACCTTGACTTCTGAATGCCACTGCTAATAAATACCACTGCTGTAAGATCAGTTGTGGAGATGGGGAATCTCATGGGAATTTTAAACCCTGGTTTACCTCAGCACTTTGTTTCCAAGGTTATTCAGAATTCAGGTTTCTTCTAAAAAATTTGCATACCTAGCAACTGAATCATTAGTCAAACTAAAGTTTGAGAAACTTAAATGAATTGTTATGAGGCTTGTTATGAGGCTTCTTTACCTAAACACTTTCATACTAAAAACTTGTAGTATAGAGGTAGTTTCCAGAATATGTGAACATACTTGTTGATAGAAGTGGCCTTTTCTTTGTATCCATTGTGAATGAAGGATAAAATGTTGTATTTCTCTTTAGTAGAGATGAAGATGACATAAATGATGTGACTTCCATGGCTGGAGTCAACATTAATGAAGAGAGTGCATGCATTCTGGCAACAAATTCAGAGCTCGTTGGTACTGTGATCCGCTCTTGTGCAGATGAACCTTTTCTGTTTTCTGAAGCACTTCAGAAGAAGATTTTGAACATCGGTGAGAACAAAACATGTAATTAGTATGTGTTGATGTAGTGTGTCCTTGCCTCTTTCGTTAGCCAGCCTATCATCTTTGAAGGAGTCAGAACTCTAAGATCTGTCAACTTCATTCATGTTTTTCTACTGAACTATACCAACCTCTGCTAGTAGAGAAATAATCTTCAGGTATTTTTTTTATGTAGAAGTAGATTGAAGCGCAGTAGGGGAGAAGACAAACTGGTGCTACTTTTATTTATAAGAAGTTAGCTACTACTACTCTTACATTTAATGGAGCACATAAAAAACATACAGATGTTAATTTCACATGCTGAAGTATGCTCTTCTATTCCTGCAGCTCCTAATTGGATACATTAAATTGACTTCTCTAAAAACATTTGCATTCCTTAGCCTGTTGGGGTTGTATATATTCTGCTGACCAAGGTTGCAGATCCTGCCCCTGTGGTTAAGAAGAAATTTCATGCTGCTGATAGAATCATAGAATTGCTCAGGTTGGAAGAGACCTCAAAGATCATCAAGTCCAACCTCAACTTAACCATACTATCCTAACTCTAACAACCCATCACTGAATCATGTGCCTGAGCACTACATCTAGACAGTCTTAAAACACATTCAGGGGTGGTGACTCATTCACCTATATGCACAGGACAGGCCTTTGCTTATGACTCCCTCTATTGGAAAACTCTTTCAATGAGTTATGTACAAAAGGAGATGTTACTTATCTGTCTGTATGAGTGGATAGTACTGTGGAATGTATGTTATGTCAAAGCAGGGAGTGGAGCGTGCATTTGTATCACACCACATTGTTGTTTACAGCAAGCTGGATATTTTTCAATGCCTTGTTCCTGGTCCCTGCTTGGTAGCTTGCCATTCTGTAACAGTGAGTTTAGCAGCTCAGCATCTATAATATAAAGCCCCCTGTTCATATGTGCAGCCTTAATTCAAGCCATAAAAACAATTGGTCTTGTTACATGATCAGAAAGTCTTCCTGTTTCTATGTGCAACTTATTCCCAGTCCAAACAATGCAACTGGCTTGTGAAAAGCATGTGTCTTGCAAATTCTATATGCTACCTTCATATACTCCATGTAGTCTACCCTGGCACAGATCTGCAATTTGAACTACACAGAGTAATGGTTCAGTGAAGGCAGTGCTGTGTTACTAATTGAAAGGGGAAAATATGCGTTGGAACTGGAGCATAGAAGCTTTTCTCATAGTTTAGTAGAAGGTTATCTAGTTATCCAGGCAGTACATCTAAAGAAAAATAGAGCTCTAAAAAAAAAAACAACCCCACATACTTGTATGACAACTGTTTTGTGGTGTTCGAACAACTAATTTAAAGATGGAAAACATAAGTACAACTCTTTCAAGGCTTGCATGATAGCTGTTGTACATTTATGACATGAATTATTATTAATGAAAAATGTTTTGATAGTGAAGAAAGGAATACAGGGATTACAACAACTTAGAAAAAAAATGCTTCTGTTCCTTAGATGAGAGCCCTCTTCTGTTTAGAAAGTGTGTGTAGAGGATGGTTTTGAGGTTTGGGGGAATTTAATTCTGGTCTTAAACTGAAGTTTCATTTATCCTGATTGTCTAGTGGTAAATTATGGAGGAAGCATTAAAAGATGCTTGAGCAAAATGAGCTTTGCACTCAACTGAAGTACAGTCTAATATTTACCATCTGAATTCAAACAGGGAGAACATTTTGATCATGGTCTGGGAAAACATTGTAGATTTTCCCTGCTTGCTATTCTAACTGAAAATGTATAATAAAGGCAGATGAAATAGGTGATTAGTTTTTTGCAGTGTACTGTTTATCCATTCTTAACACTCTACTTGGCAATAAATACCAAAATGGATTTTGAATGCTACTATGTATTGCATCATAAAGTCTTAATGGCTATTGCAAATGCTATGAGAGGCAAGGAAAAGAGCTTCTGGTAGGTACTGTGCAGAAGGTGTGTGAAACCACTGTCAGCCTCACCCACAAGGCAGTGCTTTCCAGGTGTCCTGATGGAGCTGCATTGTGTCAACCACAGTCATGCTGCTCCATTGCAGCCTGCAGGAAGGTGTGGAGTGACACTGCACCCTGAGCATGGGGTCCGGGCAGCCTCAAAAGCAGCTGCTGAAATGCAGAGGAGCAGCAGTACTTAACAGAGAGAGTGGTGTCAGCCAGAGAGAATGGGTTGAAGGCACGATGACTCCAGTTGGTTTAGGTCTTTCTTTTTAAAGCTTCTACCTTAGGATAGTTGGGTCAGTCTGCTATGGACTGGTTGGTTGAGGTACGTGAGAGGAGGCCTGGGTCTCATATGCTTGGAGAGCTCTATGAAAATTTTCCCTGTTCATCGAATAAATGTGATGAGTTGTTAACAAGCATGGTGTCAAGCAGGGCAAAATGTAATTCTCTATTTTTTTAATTACTGAAATTAACAGAATATGGCACTAATTTCTACAGCGACCACATCTCCCCATCCCTGAACATGAAGCTTGATTTGTGTTCTTATTAACTTTGTCCTATAAATGACCTTGCAAGGAGAGTGATTCTAGAGGCTAAGTGAAACAATGTCTATATTTTCTGAAGCTCCAGGCTAAGTTTTATTAATGTAGTGTCTAAGATCTTTGAAGTTGTGACTTTACCAGGAAAATCATAATCTCCAAACCTTTATTCATAATGGGTATGACTTCCAGGGGGAACAGAATACCTGCTGTGCTAATTATTTCAATTATCAGCTACTACTAAAACACGTAATGGATTTTCTCTGCTTCCACAGGTAAAAGGCATGACATTATGGAACTTAACTCTGATGTTGTGAACTTGATCTCCCATGCTACACAGGAGAGATTACGAGGGCTCCTAGAAAAACTAACTGTAATTGCTCAGCACAGAATATCAACCCATAAGGTAAAGGAAATCATTAAGCAAGTTTTGTGCCAGAGTTTTCCTGCTTTACCGCCTTGAAGCTAAACTTCTTCCAAGCATAGGTACATCATATGCAATATGTGATTCTTTTCAGTGTCTACCAAAGGCTGATTTTTTTTTTTAACTGTTTATAGCCTCTAACTATTTCTTATACTTTCCATTCAACTTGTTAGATAAGCATTCTTAAAACCAAATGTAAATGCATTTGTAGTTTTCCATAGAAATGGTGGCTGTCATGTAAAAATCTCCCTTTTACATGGTAAACGTAACGCTATTGGTCGTTGGATTGATTTAGGGGTTTGCATTTGCTTATTTCATTTACTGCTGGTGGAACCATGGTACTTCTCAGCAAAAGGGCTTGAGAATTTGAGTATTTTATTTTCAGTTCCATGTGAAAGTATAGACCCTTTGATGTTACTCTCAGGAATTTTTGTACCTCCAGTGCTACTGAAAACCTCCTCCCTGTGGTATTCACTTCACTGAGTATGAAGGAGGTCTGATATCATTGAGTCAGTTTGCGTGGTATGAATAGGAAGCATTAACTTACAAGAGACCAAACTAGCATTTCCAGACTTTTCTTTATAAACAAAGGTATGAATCTTTTTTTTTTAGTATCAAACAGGAACTTTATTTCAATATAATAAGAGCAATCAACTGACAGGATAGGAATTATTTTTTAATAGAATCCTTGCTATAGGCTTCTTGATAATGAAGAAGCAGTATTAAAGAGCAGGAACTATTTGGAAACTTTGAAGTATTTATAATGACATCCAGAGCAACTGGAGCATGCCATTCCTTTCCAGAAGAGTTTTAAAAAATTCAGTGCAGAAGATGTGTACAATTTTTATGAGAAAATTTTGTTCTGTGTTGTCTCCAAAGTAGGCAATCCAGTATATCTGTGAGCTGAAGTGAGGTGGAAGCTGAAGTCCTGAGGGGCTCTGGTAGGACTCAGTGCCTTGTAAATACCAAAGGTGGCGAGAGGGTGTTCTTGGACAGTGAGATTGGAGAGACTGACTTTCCTCATTGAAAAGAGAGGGAAAACTGGGAGGTTTTGGTCTGATTGAATTGCCAGAAGCGAAGATAAGATTGCGTGACTGCAATAAACTTCTTCTCCAAAAAGAAGAAGAAAAAGAAAAAAAAAAGAAAAAAGAGGAAAAAGCTGTACTGGTCATAATGATCTTAGAGGCACAAGTGCCCTTTCTCAATAGGAAGGTGGTATTAAATTACAGGTGAATGCCCTGGAAGATTGCACTTATGATTATTCTCACATGAATAATATTGCAGGTATGCTGACAGGCTTTTAGAAATCTACATTCAAGAGCAGAACACTTCAGAGTCTTAGTGCACTGCTATGTGTTTGTATAGGCCTGTATCCTATTTCTCCCAGTTCTTGCCACTGCTGTCTTTCATCCCTCTAGGCTATAGACTCTGGACTCCGTGCATTTCAGAAAATCATCCAGACATTTTACATGAAGTTTGGATAGTTGCCCCGCAGGGCTTTTTATTGGCATATATTCATTAGAAAAAGAGTATCATGACAGATGTGGTGAAATCAAGGTAACTATACTAGGGTAGAAGCTGTTGTGAAAATTAGTTATTCATGGGTTAATACCAAGGAAACCTTTCATATTGTGGTAGGCTTGTGCCTAGCAGCTTCCATCTGATGGCTAGCCCTTCAAAGAGATTTGGCAGGTTAAAGACTTTGTATCATAGCTTGCTACTGTATAGACTTTCCCACTTTTGCCATTTTTGCTTAAAAAGAAAAGAAAAAGAAAAGCCACACACTTAATTGTAATTGTAAGTTACTAATTTAATTAGTATTGAACTGTCATGGTCTCTATCCAAAGCAGGGAATAGCCTTTTAAATTGCTGTAAGCTGATATCTGTTCTGCAGCTCTTATTGCGATTCCTTGAGAAAGGCCTAGTAAGACAATAAAGACAATCAGCTAAATGGTTCCATTCCTCAGCTGCTTCTCTTCTGTGATCTGGAGAGCTGCTGAGGTATGAGTATGCCTGTGACATCATATGATAGCCAAGACCAGAATTAGTAGTGACAGCTAAGCTATGTACTGATTAAAAATGTTTTTGTTGTGGATTGGGTTTAGCACAGTATCAGACAACCCTTCTGTGTTTCCAAATACAGGAAATGTCAGCATTCCCTTTCTTCTTTTCTTTCCCTTGCCCCCTGCCACCTCTAACCCATCAAACTGCAGAGAGAAGTAACTCCTGAGAGGTTCAGAGACTCTTCTGCTTTTAACTTGGCTTAGGTAAAGCTGAAGCTCAGTAAGTTCCCACGGAGTAGCTGATCTCTGTAAACTCTTGTGTCCATACTCTGTCCTCAGCAAGGCTTTTCAGTGTGATTTAAATTGTTCAGCTTTTGGAGAAGAGCTGTTTTGTATGGGATTCTTCCAGCTTCACTCCTGAAGGACTGAGAAGAACATAGCTTCCACATGTGTTTTTTTCTGTACCTCTTGACATAAAATACTTTCCTGGTACTAAACTGGAAATACCTTAGATTTCAAATTCATTTAAAAGTACTTGACAGTCTAGAAAGGAGCTTGCAAATTGTGAACAAGGTATACAGCTTTCCCTTTAATTTGTTGTTGGATGTTCTCACATGCTTCAGACATGCTCTGTATTGTGGTTACTTGCGTTACTTGTCACTAACTTAAATCCTCAGATTCTCTCTGTAATTACAACCTGTGTGTTACTTCAGTTTTTGCAGGGGTCACGCTGCTGTAGCTCAGGTCTGTCTGGCCTTGTGTGAAGAAATTCATCCATTTATATGAGCAAAAACTAATCCAGCTTGCTTCCTCATAACAATAGCGGTTACAAGTTATGCACAGGTACACAATGTAGCGTTTTCTGTCTAAGCAATTACAGCACTAACAGAGAACAGAACAAGCTTGTTGCATAGAAAGGACAACATGTAACTGGAGGTTCTTAAGAAACTTCAGACATTTTAAACATCTGTTATTGAGTAAAAATTTTTTAAAATAAATTCTCCCAGTTCTTGTCCCCAATGGGTTTATGATACTGCATTGGGGTACTTCTTGTTGGGTGGCTTGCATCACTAATTGGCTAAGACTAATCAAGTCTTTGATTGGACTTTAAAAATGTAGTCATCTAACTCTGACTTTCAACATTCCAGAATGAAGCGTTTCTAAACTTCAAAAAATAATCTTCTGGTAATATGGCTTTCTTCTTTGTCCTGTTAAAAGGATTGCAGCATGGTGGTGGATTATAAACTACTGCTCCAAAACAAATTGTACTTGTGCTGAGGCTGACTCATGAAGTGTGTGTTTTGTGGGGAGCAGTAAAAAGTTGAGAGCAGTAACAAGAGGGAAGAGAAAGGCTTGTCAGACTGTTTTGCAGAACCACAGACTCTTCTTGAGAAGGACAAAGTCTCCTTAGTTGCAACACATGGTGTGGTCTGAGCCACAATTGGTGATACGTGACAATGTGGTGGCTCACTGAAAAGGACGAATAGAATACAAGAAGAGGGATTGATTTCATGCTTTGTCTGAATTGTGAGAATTAAGTTTGGAGGACAGCAGTGACTCACAATGTGACTTTTACTTTTCTTCCAACTTTTAGAAGTATATGAGTGTGGGAAGAAGAGTCTGAGTATACTGTGTCTGAAAACTGAAGTGTTTGGAAATTGAAGTCACTGATAAGTTATGTATGTAAAATATATCCTCCCTTAGAATATACCTGTAAAACATCCTGTGTTTGATCACAAAATAGCAGAGACATAAAACTCTGGGATGTACATTAGAGTGATTCAAATAAGTATCTTGTTTTGCTTGATGTCCTTTGTCCAATGTGTATATTTCAGTACCCAGTGCGGAAGAGCAGAAGCAGTAAAAAATTAGATTTCAATGGCTGACAATGTTTTAGATCTTTCCTTTTCTTGTTCTTCCTTTCAAGACAAACTAAAACTAAGTTACTTAGTCTTTCCAAAGAGGGAAAAAATGATAAGAAAAGCAAACTAATACTGATTGCTGTCTTTTTATATCTGTGTACATACTAAAATGACTGTAGTCTTGTTTCAAAGCATACATGCCCAGTTAGTGTTACAACCAGTCAATAGTATTAATTTGGCCCAACTTTGAGCTGGACATTGGACCAGGTGACTTCCATAGATCATCTTTCAACGTAAACTATTCTGTGATTTGAAAGCATCCCCTGATGCAGAAGTATCTATTTCTGTAGATAAATGATATGTAATCACCTCACATTCCCCACCCACAAAATTAATATAACCAATTCTATTTCCCACCAGGCAGGGCTTATTTCAAGTTCTGGATTAAATGGCAAAAGCTTCAAAATTTTGGGTCTTATGTTTTTCTTCATCTATTGTCTTTAAATGAGAAAGGGTATGATGATCTCTTCTCAATTCTTTTTCCTTTTAATAATCCAGCCAGAAGACAATCTTGTTTGTTTACTGGTTATGAAATTTATAATAGCCTTCCATAAAGACTACTATTCTAATTTATTATAGTCAACAGACAGTAGAATGAGGTGTTAATTTTGTCAGTTGCTCCATAACCTCTTGCTAGTCACAGATCCAAAGAAGCATGCTTCAGTGGAGAGGAGATACGGAAATGGTTACCTACCACCTGAAAACAGCATTATTTTCAGGCTGATTCCATTAGCTCTAGTGGTGTATAAAAAGCCCTGTCTAATGAAATTCTCTTTTCAGGGGAGTGATACATACATTGTATCTAGTGACACCAGAGCACAGCTAAAATTTCTTGAAAAGCTTGATCACCTAGAAAAGCAAAGAAAGGACGAAGAGGAACGTGAAATGTTGCTACGAGCAGCCAAGGTAAGAACATCATTTCTTGCTTTTCAGAGCTAGTCTTTCATATTTAGGATAGCTCAAACCATACAGAAAAGGGTTTTAGGCTTTTTACATTCTTTTAAAAATCATAGGAATTCTTTCAGGTAAGTGGTAGGGGTGAGATCTTCTTTTGATTATTCCTTCTGGACAAAATGAAATAAAAGTAGTATTCGCATAGCCATAAACTTAATTTACGGCTCAGTTTTGAGTTCAAAAAATGCCCATGTCCTTCTCCATACCTGGAATTCGGTGAGATTTGCTGCCCTGACAGGTGTATTTCTTTTCTGTAGTTAGATCAGAGAGATCAACTTTGAGCTGGTACACTTGCATCTGAGAATCAGAACAGAATAAGTATCCTTCCCACTTCCCTCCCTACAAGAGCAGAAAAGAAAACAAGCAAACAGCAACAGAAAAACACCAACAAAGCAGTAGATCTTGCACAATGAAATGAGACTCGATCCTCTCCTATTTTGTTGTTTTGTTTTTGAGCTGACTTCTGGATCCCCTTGGGTGGAAATGTAATCCAGACTGGAAAGAATCAAGTTGTACTTGCAGAAGTACAGAATTATGACTCCTTTTCTTTCCTGCACTTCCTGTCCTTTGTAAGTGTCTGCTGCTGACATGAACAGCATCATGCCTAGACTGGACCTGACTGACAGCGTTAGCATCATTTTCAGTTTAATCTTGCTTCAGGCTAGAGCAGAGGCAGCCAGCCCAGATGGGGGGGGGAGGGGGCGTGTATGTGGAGGGGGAGGGGAGCCAGTCTGGATTGAGGCATTTGCCCCTGGAGCAAAATCTTTCAATCACAGGAGAAAATTGTCATTTATTAAATATTTAACGTATGCTGTGGTGTTTGGATGCTAGTAATTCCTATTCAATCTTTTTCTTGTTCCTTTGGTAGAGCCGTTCCAATAAAGAAGATCCAGAGCATCTGCGTTTAAAGCAGAAAGTGAAAGAGGTAGGTCTTTCAAGTTACCATGCTTGCCTTTGTGTGCTGAGAGAAGGTTGGCAGCCCTGTCCTGGCAATTAGGTCAGGGTTTATTTTGCTGTTGCATACCATTTGCAGAGGCCTTGGGGAAGGACAGGAACTGCTACAGGCAAGGGCAGTGCTTTAAACGAGGTCAATGAGTTATGAGCTCTCTTTCAACATTTTATTTTCGTAGTTCTAGTCTTGTTTAGAAATGGCTCTTTGTAAACTACAGCGGTACACTTGGTAGGAATATAATGTGGGATTAGAAAAAAAAAAAAGAAACTTTGAGATTTAGCATCTGGGACTGTACAATAGGCTACATTTTTCCAGGGTAATTGTTCGTTTTGTAAATCTGATACTGCTTATAATTCTTTGGCTGGGAGGCGGTACTGGGATTTAGTTTTAAATGGAAAACGCCTCTGGCTTTTAATTTTCTGGGCCCAGCAGTTTTCTGTTCTGGAATGGAGCCCTTGTTTCACACAGTTCATGTTTAGCTGCAGGGGTTTTAGTTTATAGCTTAGACTGGTTAAGCTTTTACTCCCAGAGGCCTCTGCATAGCAACTGTAGAAATCAACAAATAAGTTCATTTATGTCTGCAGCCTCCTCTCAGTAGCTGACTTTTTACATTTCCCAATATCCATTTCCTGACTTTTCTAGCCTGAGAGAAAAAAGCTCCACTAATTGGAGCTTATTTTAATTGAGCCTTAATATTGGATCTCACTGGAGTTGCCCCCAGAGCTACTGGGAACAGAATGAAATGAAAGTACCTAAGGTTGAAGATGTGTGTGTATGTGTGTGTGAAATTTTTCACTTGACCTACAGATTCTTTTCCCTGCTGAATAAATCATCAAGCCTGTTCACATTTCTGATTAAGGATCTGACAGCAGATGATAATAAAGACAATTGAGGTGTGAGACGTGTGATACAGAGCTGAAGAAATTGGTTTCTATAGTTACTTGACTGATTTCATGCAATTTTTAAGGATCTTTGTGCTAAATGAGTGTGATTTTCTGAGCAACCTTTTTCCTTAACTGTGCCTCTTGAACTATGAAATTTGTTGTTGCTTAACATTGCTGCACTTGGCTCCTAGGTGCCAGGAGCAGCAGCAGGTTATTTATGAATGCTTTAAAGGCCCTTATTGTTTGGATTAATGTAGGAGCTGAGGCAAAACAAATGGAAATCCAGTAAAATACTATTAGAATCAATGCTCTGGATTTGCACCAGAGTAGAAGAAATTTGTAAAATGAGAGGAGAGAAAACTTGCTTTACTATCTATCTTTTAATTCCTTTTTCCTCCTTACAACTCCTTCTTCATGCTTATAGAATAATCTGCCAGTACAGAAGTTGCCTTAAAGCCCTTTCCAGTTTCCCTTGTTGCCACCAGGTTCAACAATCAGTGGGTAAATGCTGATTTGTCTTGTCTTGTAGGTGGCCTTACTTCTGCATCATCTGATTGTTTTTATAGGTTTTTTATTGAACCACTGCAAAGCTGCATTTTAGCAATTAGTTTATGCAACTACTTTTCTCTTTGCCTTTGAACAATAGCATACAGGGTCTTGAAAAATATTCCATGACTCGGATATTTAGAAAAAGGAAATTTGAGAGTGTATTTTGCTTCTTATAGGTATACAGAAAAGCAACCAACAGAGTGGAGATGACTGTTTGAGTATGAAGTTCTCTAGTTCATATCCTTTCCTACATCTTATCTTGTGCTGGATTAACACAGCCTTAATTGTGCTTGTCTTGCATTTTGTCTGTGCTCTGCCACTCAAGGAGTGGTCTCCAACTGCTTCATCATGAGAAAAGCAGGCAGATATGCCACTTTAAACAATGAAGATCTTTTTGTGGGTATTGCCTTACCCTCTGCTCTCCTGAGTATGGGACAGACAGAACTTCACCAGATTTCGTGAGCCGAGCAGGTGACCCACCTTCCTGTGCCATAGGTGCTTTCTTTTGTCTGTTTCAAGGTTAAGTTGTAAGGAACCCACATGAAGCTGGTCAGTTTGACACCTTATTGATGGTTAGCTCAGTTTTGTACGAAAATGCAAATGCAAGTAGGTCTGCAATAAGAGCAAAATTGAAATTAACAAACATCCTAAACCTGAAACTTCTGTAGGATGTGCTGAGATGAAAGCCTGAAAGGGCTCACCATTGTCATTCTTATTGGTCAAGCTGTGAGTGTAGCCTATTCCTAGCAAACCAAAGGTAGGAATTGCAGTTCCTTTCTCAGCTGGAATCGAATCCCTTCCAGGAGTTCTGGTTGAGTATCCACTAGGAAGGCTAATCTAATTGTCCCTTTGTAGGTCTTAAAGAATGAATATGGGCCTTCCTTCTTCAGAGCTGTCTTCTGTATGCCAATGGTGACCTGCTGGGAGTAGGGAAAGGGTGTGGAGTAATGGCACTGGACATTCTGGATGCTTTCTAAAGCAATGTTTCCCAAAATATAGGGTGTATATTGTAACAATGAATACTTTTAAATTCAGGATGTGCTGTCATCCAGTAGCTGGGGGCAGCTTCTTGAAATTGCTGGAAGTGCATCCAGAGACCTGGTAGTGGCTTCTTTTATCTAAAAGACTATACATAATTGCTGTGACCTTCTTGTCCCTTTTTGCATGACCTATTACCTAAAACTTCCCTTATACTAAGTCATTTGTTTTGCTGTATTCTTAGCTGGCTATGAATTAAGTCTTTGACTTCCCCCTTTCACCTGTTTCAGCAAATTTTAATAGCTATGGAAAGTGCACATTCTTTCTGAGGCAGCTGCTAGGCTTGCCTGAAGCTGCTCCTTTATCCACTCAAGAATTTTGTCCTTGCTCACCTCATAGGCCAGCTCTTTGTATAAAAGCATTTCCAAAGCCTGGATGAATTGCCTCTGCTTTTCATTCACCCTTAGCTGCAGGTTCAAACTGAGAAGGATGCAGTCCTTGCGCTGTCCCTGATGCTTGTACTTTTAAACTTTAATTTTTTTCAGGTGCTTTCTGATACTTCATGTTCTACTTCCAACTATACTTCTAGTTATAAACAATATTCAATTGATGCAATTCTTGTAGCTGTATTTATAGCTTATCTCTAGCTTCCTTTCTTTTTCTGAAAGGAGATCACTTAAATGTAGGATGCAGTAAAGTTCAACAAGCATGGTATATGCATAGGACATCAAAGACGACCTGTAAAAATGGCAGTATGCATCAGTGTACTGTAAATTTAAATACAAACTCTGATTTTTTTGTTCTGTGTCATCTTGAAAAGTGAGTCTGTTTGTACTACAGCTGGAGGAAGGTGGAAACTGGGCAAGCCATTCAGATTTTGCGTGTGCAAGAATGCTTCTTCAGGTTAAGCAGGTGAACAAGTATCATACTGAAAGCATCTTTGTTTAAGCCACAATAGTGGCCTTCACCTGTGTTCTTATCTTGATGCACCCTACAGTGAAAAAGGTGAGCAGCTGCATCTTGAACAAGGGGAAGAGCATGTGGAGTGCCTACCTGATGATAAACAGCCAACTTGCTTCATCCCTGGCTGTTCTGGCAACTTTGTATTCTGATGAGTTCAAAGGTCTTTCTAGTTCTTTGTTCCTACAAGTTGTTTTACTATGATTTTGATGAGATACTGTGAAAATTCAATGACTTTCTCATTAACTGTTTTGGAGGAAAAGATTGAACACTATTTTTCTGTAAAGACAAATAAACCCCACAGAAAACACTGAAGTCAAAATGATTCCAGTGCATTCCTGGGAGTTATCTAATGGCTGAAATGCTGTTGTTCTGTATTATCTTTTTTCAAAAATCATCTCACTTTTTTTCTATTTCATGTGTCCATCCTAACTCTTTCTCTTTTTCCCCTCACATTCTCAAATATCTCTAACTCAGTTCTTCTCCCTGCCATCTCTGTCTCTCAATTTTCAAGCTATTGAATCGTTTCCTTTCCTACCCACAACTCTTTTGCTTCTTCTATATTTAGTTTTCTGAATCTAATGATTGGAATTCTGTAAGACTACTCTTGTGGCAGGGGAAAATAAAATTCTTCAGTTTCCAGTGCAAAAAAAACAAATAAGATGTCATTGCCATAAATGGGCTTTTCATGAGCTTTCACTGACTTCCTGAGAGCTTCAAATTAATTATCTGATTTATATTGTCTTTATTTTTCTGTAGTGTTTCTTACCTGCTTCTGTGGTATTTGAAAAAACATGATTATCGAATAGGCATAATTGTTTGTTGTTTTTTTGGTATGGTTTTTTTTTTTTTTTCCCTGCAATAAGAAAAAGGTTTCTTGAACACCTCCAGGGATGGTGAGTCCATTGCCTCTCTGGGCAGCCCATTCCAGTGGTTGACCACTCTTTAGGAGAATAAATTTTACCTAACATCCAACCTGAATCTCCGCTGGTGCAATTTGAGGCCATTCCCTCTCATCCTGTTATTAGTTATATCAGAGAAGAGGCTGATCCTCAACTTGCCACAATTTCTTTTGAGGCAGTTGTAGAGAGTGGTAAGGTCTCCCCTGAGCCTCCTGTTCTCAGGCTAAACAATCCCTGTTCCCTCAGCTGCTCCCTGTCAGACCTGTGCTCCAGACCTCTCGCGGTTTCGTTGCCCTTTTGTGGATGTGCTCAAGAGCCTCAATGTCTGTCTTGTAGTGGGACAGCCAAAACTGAGCACGGTACTCGAGATGCAGCCTCATCAAGGCTGAGTATAGGGAGATGATCGTTTCCCTGCTTCTGCTGGCAACACTATTTCTGATACAAGTCAGGATGCCATTGGCCTGCTTGGCCACCTGAACACACTGCTGGCTCATGTTCAGCTGAGTGTCGATCAACACCCCCAAGTCCATTTCTTCTGTTGTGGTAATGCAGGTCTACTGGCCTGTGAGTCTTCTCACAAACAGCATCAGAAACAATGAAAACTATGGGGTAGCTGATAGCTTTGACAGGGTGGTGTAGCCTTTTATTGGCCTCACAATAAAGTTGCCTAAGCTGTGTCTAACAACATGCTTAAAGAGAG